TTAAATCCCCCGCTCCTAAACCTTTCATCAGATATGTCACCTACTGTATATGGCTGTTCTGAGTTAACCAGTTAACTAAATAGCTATGACTATTTTCTTTCACAGGATTATGTCATGTCTGCATTGGTGACTTAATACCAAAATGGAATGTTTTACTGCACTACTGCTACTATTGTTTTAGAGAGGATTAATTTGTTTCGCATGGTTCCCTAGTATGTGTGAGCATATTTTCACTTGCAAATGCAACTGAGAGAGGCCCCCATCCTTACACGGACAATCGCTGTTCAAGAAATTTTATTATTGCTAAAAATATGCATATGGTTCCGTCTAAAAGCCAAATATTCTTATATTTCCTTATTTGTGCTCCCTGAACTTGATAAGGTCGTAGTAATGGTCTATATGTCAGGTCCTAATTTTTACTGTTCACCTACAAACTGATTTTTCAGCTTTTTGAGATAAAATACTTAAATTCTTTATTTCTATGTTACACGGGAATTAGTTGATAATGAAAAAACAAAGACAATATAAATTTTTTCTGAAAAAGGCTGTTCGGAGATGGCTGCTAACGGTCCATCCCCTAAAAATACATTTCCAGACTATACCGCCCTACAGCTATTCGCAATAGAGACTAATACTGGTGCCTCACTTGAATACACAAACTTACGTCCGCGAACAGAACATGACAAAAATCAAGCCACGCGCATCGGCCACGCGTGCGCGCTGATACCTGGGCTAAGTAACCAATGATGTTTTAACTTTAGTAAAACGCGAATGGCGAAGCCTGCCAGCTCAGAGGCCATTTAATACGCGATGGTGAAGGCCGTCTATGTCGCCAATTAGATATTGACTGACAAATAGGGAAAGACTAGCGGCAGCTCGCAGTTGCACACGCCTCGGGAAAACAGCTTCAGCGATCTCTGGAATCAGGCTCTATTCACTGCGTGGTTTTTCGCAAAGGATCGTGTCCCTAACAGAGCTCGAAAAGAGGAGGCGGCCAAACAATAACAGTGGCAGTCTACCCTCCATATATTGAAGATTAATGGGATATTCGATGTAGGTCCTCATATTTATCAATAGCAGCTTTTCTATAAAAATATTGGCACAAAAAATGGCGTTTAAACTTTTAAAACTGCAGCCAATTTGATATTAATTCAGCAATTTAAATTAAACACGTTTCCCATGATAGGTATATTATTTTTTAATGGCACACAAAAGCTGAAAACTGTGGACATCGAAAACACTGCATTAGACTGAAAACACGATTGACAGCATCCTACTCAGTGTAAAAACTTAAGAAGAGATGCGTTAAATTGAGAAAGCTACCATTGCCCAACCCTCCTACCTTAATAAAGTGGCTTTGCAAGGAAACAGGATAGGCTTTTCTTAAAATATGGATGTGGAAATTTTAAACACAGGGTCGTCTTCAGGGATTCCGATCGGGTAATTGTTTGATCTGTGCGGGGTCATAGAGGTTTTGCGCTAATTAACAGCGACCTTATCTACCGAAATCTCAATGAATACGCTTTTACTTCTATTTTTTACTCTAGCTAGGTTCAGATAACTGGACTTAGCTAATATCACTTATGAAGCACATCCCTAGAGTAGTTTTAATTGTATGTCACTTCGATTGTTCATATAGCAAAAAATGGCAAAATATGCGAGTGAGGGAGCATGTTTAGGTAAAATCTCGTTCAAGGCTTATTTATGAAACTAAACCCTGATTTATTTATTTTAGTTCTTTTTATGGATGCGCATAAAACAAGTTCATGATCTCTATACGTTTGAAGGCTCAGCTCTTAGTCTGCGAATAGGTCTTAATAATCGAAAGCTAATGAACCCTTTGATGCTCTTTGTAATGCAGTTTAAGGATGTAGACATCCTCCTATTCCGGACAAAACTGCGAAACTGTATGATTTCGTTTTATATCTACACGGCATAACCCCTGGGAATGCTTTATATGCGTAATCCTTCAATCAATATATGCTTTCGATGAAGACACT